GAAGAGCCAACTAAAGCTAAAGCTAGCAAAAGAAAGTACATAAAGATTAGAGAACCAAAAGTTGGTTCCTTAAAAAAACAGATTAAAAAAACAACTGACAAATCTTTTAACTAGACTGACTAAAACAAAAAAGAAGACTCAAATTACTAAGTAAGAATGAAAGTACAGACATTACTACTGAATGTACAGAAATAAAAATGAGTACAAGAGAATACTATGAACAATTATATGCAGACAAATTAGATAATGCAGATGAAACAGACAAATTCCTAGAAACACACAAACTACCAAAACAAACTCAAGAGAAACAGAAAATCTAAATACATCTGTAACAAGAGGTTGACTTAGTAATCAAAAACCTCCCAATAAAGAAATGTCCTGAACCAGATGGCTTCACTAGTGAATTATACCAAACCTTTAAAGAATTAACACCAATCTTTTTCAAACTCTTCCAAAAAAAGAAGAGGGAACGCTTCCTAACTCATTCTGAGATCAACAACCCAGACACCAAAACTAGACAAAGACACCACAAGAAAACTACATACCAATATCCTTTAGAAATACAGATGCAAAAAACTCTCAACAAAATAATAGCAAACCAAATCAAGCCTCAAATTAAAAGAACTATAAACCATAACCAAGTAGGAATGCAAGGGGGTGGTTCAACAAAAGAAAAAACCAACCAACGTAATACATCACCATAATAAAATGAAGGATAAAAGTCACATGATCATCTATCTCAGTTGATGCAAAGTATTTGACAAAATCCAATATTCTTTAATGATAAAAACACTCAGAAAACTAGGAATCGAGGGGAACTCCTCAACATGATAAAAGGTATTTACGGAACACCCACAGCTAACATCATATTCAGTGATGAACAACTGACAGCATTCCCCCTAAGATCAGAAACAAGACAAGGATGCCTGCTTTTGCCACTTCTATCCAACATTTGAAAGCCCTAGTCATAGCAATTAGGCAAGAAAAGAAAAGCATCCAAATTAGAAGGGACAAATAAAACTACACCTCTATTAGCAGATGACATGATCCTATATATATAAAATCCTAAAGAATTAACAAAAATATATTAGAGCTAAGAAATGAATTCAGCAAAGTTGCAGGCTACAAAAGCAACACACAACTCAGTTATATTTCTATACACTAGCAAGGAACAATCTGAAAAGGAAACTAAGAAAACAATGCCATTTACAATAACATCAAAAATAGTAAAATACTTAGGAATGCATCTAACCAAGGAGGTATGACTTGTACACTGAAAATTACAAACCACTGCTGAAATAAATTAAAGAAAAACATAAATTAAATGGAAAGACATTTGTAGTTCATGGATTGGAAGACTTAATATTGGTAAGATGTTGATCTATAGACTCAATGCAATCCCTATGAAAATCCCAACAACTTTTTTTGTAGAAATGAAAAACCTGATACTAAAATTCATATGAAATTATAAAGGACCCTGGATAGGAAAAATAATATTGAAAAAGAAGAACAAAGCTGGAGGACTCACACTTCCCAATTTCAAAACTTACTACAAAGCTACAGTAATCAAAATAGTGTTGTACTAGCATAAGGATAAACATATACATCAATGGAACAGAACTGAGAGTTGAGAAATAAATCCACGTCTACTGATTTTTGACAAGGGTGCCAAGATTATTCAATGAGGAAAAAATAGTCTCTTCGACAAATGGTGTTGGGAAAACAATATCCACATGCAAAGGAATGAAGCTTGACACTTAACTCATACCATATTTAAAAATTAAAAAATGGATCAAAGACCTAAATATGAGATAAAAGTATAAAACTCTTAGAAGAAACCAGGGGTAAATATTCATGACCTTGGATTTGGCAATGGATTCTTAGATTGTTGTTGTTAGGTGCTGTCAAGTCAGTTCCGACCCATAGCGACCCTATGTACAATAGAACGGAACACTGCCTGGTCCTGCGCCATCCTCATGATCGTTTTTATGCTTGAGCCCATTCCTGCATACCAGAAGCACAAGCAACCCAAGAAAAAAATAAATTGGACTTCATCAAAATTAAAATGTTTTATGCAAAGGACACTATCAGGAGAGTGAAAAGACAATGTACAGATTGGGAGAAGATATTTGAAAATCATATATCTGATAAGGATCTAGTATCAACTATATAAAAAACTCATACAACTCAACGACAACAAAAAAAGACAAAAACAATCCAATTTAAAAGTGTGAAAGGGATTTCAATAAATATTTCTCCAAAGACATTCAACTGGCCAAAATCACATGAAAAGATAATCAATGTCATTAGTCTTTGGAAAAATTAAAACCACAATGAGATACCACTTCACATCTACTAGGATGGCTATAATCATTTCAAAAATAAAAACAGAAAATTAACATGAACTGGCAAGGATGTGGAGAAATTATCCTTGGGAATAATTATATGTGGAGAAATCATACATGGCCAGTGAGAATGCAAAATGGTGCAGCCACTGTGGAAAACAGTTTCTTGGAACCCCACTGATTAAGGGTAGGGTTGCACAGCTGATTACTGTAATTGCTGTTGTACACCTGTAGAAAGTTGAATTCACAAAAGTTGTGTGATATATTTATGACACAAAAAAAGAGTAGCTATTGAGGCTCCTTATGTACAACCAAACACCTCATGGGATTTGGTTCCTCTGTTTGGAGGTTTAGGTTCATGGTTTCATGGGACAGCCCAGTCAATTGGCCTAATGATGTGTTTAGTGCTTTTGTTCTACCTCCTAGTTTGTTGCTTAGTGCCTGGGGTCTTACAAGCTTGCAAGCGCCATCCAAGGTCCAATAATTGGTCTCTATTCACCTGGAGCAACAAAGGAAGGAGGAGAGTCAGGAATAGGAGGAAGATACGGAACGTGTGGCTAACTGCTTTCATGAACAACTGCCTCCTTTGCCATGAGACCAGAACTGGATGGTGCCCCGCTACCATTACTGAACATTTTGATCAAAGATTCCATAGACGAATCCTTATCAAAAGGGGGAAAATGTAGAACAAAACTTCAAATTCTCATGGACTCTAGACTTCCTGGAGCAACGGTGGGTGGATGAACCCCTGAAGCTAATGCCCTGAGATAATCTTTGGCTTAAGAGCCAAAAATATCCCGAGGTCTTCTTAAAACCAAACAATAGTTCAGCTTAACTCGTAAAGAATTATGCTCTTTTAAGATTTATCTATATGGGATCAAATTGACTACAGCAACTTGATGGATAGGAACGTTAGGGGGCAGTGAGTTTATGTTAATGGGGGAGGTACAACTCAGAAGAGGAGGATGAGAATGGTTGTACAACTCAAAGAACAGAATCAATGTCACTGAAGGGTACATGTAGAAACTGTTGAATTGGTATATGTTTGCTGTGTATATATTCAACAACAAAAAATATAAATTAGGCAAAAAAAAGTTTGCTGGTTCCTCAAAAAGTTAAACATAGAATTACCATATGACCCTGCAGTTCCACTCCTGACAATTACAAAACATTGTTGAAATAAATGAAAAAAGACATAAATAAATGGAAAGACATTTATGCTGCAGATAGGACGACTTAATGTTAAGATGTCAACCTATATATTCAATTCAATCCCTATAAAAATACCACTGCTGGATATATACCCCAAAGAATTAAAAACAAGTATTCTAACAAAAACTTGTATATGAATGCAGCACTATTCACAATAGCCAAAAGGTGGAAATAATGCAATGTCCATCAATGGATGAATGGATAAACAAAATGTGGTATAGAGACATACAATGGAATATTATTCAGCCATAAAAAGGAATGAAGTACTGATACATGCTGAAACATAGATGAACCTTAAAAAAACATTATGCTAAGTTAAAGAAGCCAGACACAAAAGGCCACATATGTATAACTCCATTTATATGAAATATTCAGAATAGGTAAGTTGCATGGAGACAGAAAGGAGATGAGTGGTTGCTAGGGGCTGAAGATTTTTACCAACTTCTGCATCTAAAGTTGATCAAACGTACGATCAAGATGCACTGGTAAGTACTGGTGACTGGAGTGCGAAAGTTAGAAACAAAGTACTTGGAAAGTATGGCCTTGGTGATATTCCAGAGATTCCATGATAGAATTTTCAAGACCAAAGACTTCTTCACTGCAAATACCTTTTCTCAACAACATAAATGGTGACTATACACATGGACCTCACCAGATGGAATACACAGGAACCAAATCGACTACATCTGTGGAAAGACGTTATGGAAAAGCTCAATATCATCAGTCAGAACAAGGCCAGGGGTCGACTGTGGAACAGACCACCAATTGCTCACATGCAAGTTCAAATTGAAGCTGAAGAAAATTAGAGTAAGTCCACAAGAGCCAAAGTACAACCCAGAGCATATCTCAACTGAATTTAGAGACTATCTCAAGAATAGGTTTGACACATTGAACACTAATGACCAAAGACCAGATGAGTTGTGGAATGATATCAAGGACATCATGCATGAAGACAGGAAGATGAAGGGGATGCTGCTTTTATAGCTTGCAAAACTATTAAGTTTTAATGTATCCATCCAGCACATTAGCAAGCACATTTTTATATTCTACATCAAATAAAAAAGGTTCTACAAAAGAAAGGGTAATTTTTTTCTACTACACTAGACATAACTTCTAAGGACTGTTAAATATAAAAGTATACCACGTGCAAATACTTTCTGAAAAATCGATGTCTTTGAATTTGGTATTGGTGAAGAATATTGAATATACCATGGACTACCAGAAGAATGAACAAATCTATCTTGGAAGAAGTACAGCCAGAATGCTCCTTAGAAGCAAGGATGGTGACACACTAGTTCCTGGAGAAGAACATCATGTCTGGTAGAGTAGAGGGTCAGTGAAAAAGAGAAGACCCTCAATGAGATGGACTGACACAGTGACTGTATGGGCTCAAGCATAATGATTGTGAGGATAGCACAGGACTGGGCAGTGTTTCATTCTGTTGTACACAGGGTCGCTATGAGTAGGAACCGACTCGACAGCACCTAACATGCAAATGCTGCTATATTTCTATAACTTAATCTGTTGAAAAAAAGAAACAATACTTTTTCATACAGCAAGAAAAAATGAAAATAAATGAACAAAGTGTTAAATTTGAACCAAGTGTTTCTAGGTGTAATCTGTTCACTATTCAAATGTAAAGCAAGGTTTTTAGAAAACTGAAAAAAAAAACATTAATGAAGCCATTAGCAAGGACACTATATAAAGCATTAATTATGCAAATTCCCATTAGTACTGCTCTTTTCTTTAATGAACAATCTGTTTTGGCAATTTTATGTAAATGAGAACAGAACATATTTATAACACTCCTGTGCTTCACAGCATTAAACAGAGTGGTCATTAAAACAAAACTAGAAACAGCCAATGTAAAAAAAAGATTTACGAACACTAAGAATAAAAAAGTAAACAAACCTCTCAACTTTTTGACACAAAGACCTAAGTAGAATAATTTACTGAATGTACACACACATAAAAGGTAGAATTTCAAGAGTATGGTAGCAACACAGCATGTTAAAGACCATTCAACAGACTCAGGTGCTAGCTTCAAAAAAGCTTCTTAAATTCTGGTTTTTAATATAAGGTTCTTGAGGAACACCTTACTGAGGGATTATCTGGCCCAGAACTTAAAGTGTTAACAGAAAGAAAGGACACATCAAGTGTCGTTTTTAAAAAAAAAAAAAAGCATTTATTATTATTCCCTCAACTTAAATCTAGATTTGTTTCATACTGACTTCATGGAACTATTTGACTTTGAGAATATGAGTGAAACAATGTTTATATCTGCATTTCATTTTTTAAAAATATGACTTTTAAGAATAAATACTCACCTTGAGTATTGCTCGGAATTTTACTCTTTCCCATACCCTCCCCCCCAAACTCCTACCTCATCACCAAACCACCACAAAAACAAAGGGAAAATTTTAAAAATAACAAAATTGGCAAATGTGAATCCATTAAAAGAAATCACTGGGAAGAAGATTTTAAATCCCATGGCTTTATAACTTTCATATAATATTTGAATTTTAAAGAGCTTCTCCAGAAACTTTTTTTAAATAAAAGTTTTATTGGAGAAAAATAGAACCACCACGTACACAGAGAAAAACAGCACAAAAATTCAACTGATACAGAACAACTGAAAGTCACAATCATCCAATATTGCTTGCAATTACTTTTCAATTTCTTAAAGAGCTCCCTTCAACTTGTTTAATAGTCTTGCCAATTTTCAGCTGAAACAGCCTCAAGTTTTCAAAAAAAAATTAAGAGCCTCAGGGAAGGGACCTGCTTTCAAGATAATGAAGGTGACATCAAGGGTCTCCTCCTAACTATTGAGTCTGGTATAATAGTCTACACATCTCAGAGACCATCAGGGTTGAGTTAGAACACTGATGTAGATGGTCCAGTACGATGGAAGGGAAAACATAACAGCTGCATTTCCTTGTCAGATGAGTTCTGATAGGGAGGAGCTGAGCAAATACAGGCAATAGTTGCTCAAAAAGAATTTGGAAGGAATTCTAAATACCACATATAGCTAGACAACAGTGTACAAGTATATGCAATTAGAGAGGAACAGGCAATTTTTTTTAATAGCTGGCCACAGGAAGTCTTTGAGAACTCAAGAAAACAATCAATGGTAGACATACAGTCAATAGTCTCCTTAGCTGAAGATTAGGACCTAGGTATTTTTCTTAATGGCTCCAAATAGGCAAGAAAATACACTGTTGCAAAAAGCATTAAAGAAGTTCTGATTTACAAAACAACCAGACAAACATTTTCTGCTTCTCCTCCAAGATCGATTCAAAGCTTCAAATCTTCAGGGAAAAACAAACAAGTGACCCTTCCCCCCAAAACAACAACAACAAACAATAAAAAACACTGATGGTAGAGAGAAGCCTTTTACACCAATTATCAATTGGAAGAACAATACTTTTGCTACTGTTAAAGTATGAACAATCCTGGGACATTCTCCTGAAAAGTAGGTGTCCACTGGCTATGAGAACTCTTGAAGCAATTTTGAATGGAAGAGGGTCATTATGACACAGAATTTGAAATCCCCAACCAGAGGGTGTGTGGGGAAAACAAGGGAAGACTTGTATATCTAGGGCTTATTTACCAACAAAGAGGAGAGTTGGGATGCTTCCAAAAAAACTTCGGTAGAGAAAATAGGAATGCTAAATCCTAGGAAGCCTGTAACAATCTATAATTGGTCCAAGTTAAGACAAAACTGTCCAAATAACGTTTAGAGTCTAAGGTAAACTGAAAAGCAGCTGATGTATTTTTGCTCCTGAATAGTTTACAAAACATGTTGAATTTGGTCTCTTTTGCAATTTTCATATTGTATTCATTTTTAATATGAAAAAAAGCGTTGGATTTCTCTATGATGTTCCTCTAGTACAAATGATCAGCAATCTTATACTCCAGCTATTTTTATAAGTACCTGTTAACCAGCACAGTAAACTCAGGTCTAAGCCATATACACACATCCCATACTCATAAATGGAAAATTTTAGGATGTGTATTTACAAGATAGTATGTAAGCAACAGTCCCTACTTGAAAACTTGTTTCCAAATAAGTTTTTTTTAAAACATCCCTTTCAATGTAACAGAACATTACCTGGTAAAATATCAATAGCTATGACAACATATTTTTCTTTTCAAGGGAAATCACAAAACAGGTGAACAACCAAGTCCAGGGTGGTTTTTCTATTTGATAAATACATCCAGAACTCTGTACAGTAAATAAAGTTTGCATGCAGTTTAAGTATCTTTAAATGACATTTTAAGCAAATAAATCTTTTGCTTCATAGTTAATGGTGTATAAGAACCCCCCCCTTTTTTTTAATAGTCATAGGGACCTCTTCCTCAGTTCCAAAGAGGAATCATGAAGACCAGGTACTTTCTTAAAGAGTTTTCTGCACATCATACTAAATAACATGCAAAGAGTTCAACAACATTCTTCTTAAAGGTAAGTATTACTCTTTAAATGGGCATGTTAACCACTGAAAAAGTCCACTCAACTATTTCCATTACACTTTCATTTGGTCATCGGTAGTATAAAAGAAGTCAAATAATATAGGATTCAACAAGTTAGTTTATCCATTGGCTACTGCATGACACCAAATGTTTCAAGGCCAACATTTTATGCAATATAGTTGTACTGGTTTGGATTTTCTTTATCTCTTTCCATGTAGTCCCTGTCAATTAAGGATTCTATTCTCTTCTTAAGATCAGCAGGCTGTAAAAGAAGACAAACTTTCAGTGCAAAGCTCATCATCATTGGGTCAATCTCATTTGCCAACATCCCATTAAAAAAAAGAAAAAACAGTTTTGGCTCACTGAATAATTTCCAGTTAACTTCAGCTTGTTTAACAATTAAACAAATGTAAAATATTATAGATCAGAAACTGTATTAGATTTAATGTATTAAATCGCCTTAATTTTTTAAAGAGAAAAGTGTAATGAAAATAAACCAAGAAAAGCTTTTATACTATATACAAAACATGTATTATACTATACCATCCTTGTCATATTGTGATATAATACTTTCTATTATTTTTCTGTTGTAAAGGGGTTTTCTCAGAACCAGTTACTCTCTACAGAGTTCAGTAAAAAAGACTAACTTATAATTTCACAGGGAGAACATATTATAGTTTACAGAAACAGAATGCTACCAAGTTTTGACAAGATAGTTTGAGAAGATAAGCAGATCTTTACCTTGGGCAAAAGTCAGTTCTCAAAGTTAGGTTGCAATTTTGTAAGTTAAATAAAAAATGTACTGGGGAAATCACTATTTAAAAGAACATTACAACAAATGTTTGTAGTATTCTTTTAAACAGTGAAGTATCATCTCAACTTCAGAGCTTCATATTTCAGGTTTAAAGTAAGATTTAAGTGTTTCCTATTATAAATGATTTGGATTTCTACATCCTACTTGTGGTTTAAAGATCATCAAGAAAGCTTGTAGATTATCTTCATGATCTCACATTTAGCTCTGAAATATCGGGATTCCACTATATGCCCACCATCTAGCCTATAAAAATAAAAGTCTTGCTTGTGAATAGAGTTTTTCAGAATATGTAAAATGGCTACTTGATCAAGAGGGTTTTGAAAGGAGGAAAGTAGTCTGATAGGACACTCAAAATTTCAGCCATAATTTTATCCAATAATCCTGAGCCTTGAAAATCAAACGACTTTCTATTAATCATGGTGAAAGATCTAGACTATTAGCACAATATTCATTATAGAAATCCCCTAACTTCCCTAACATCAGTGATCTCTCTCTGGCTGGAGGTAAAATGATTGTTAGACAGAGTATGAGGGTGAGAGTGTGGCAATGAGGCAGTACTAGGTTTGGAGAAATCCAAACCATATTAAGTTTTAGAGAAAGTCTACCTTGTATAATTAACAGCTACTGAGTACTTACTATGGACCAGGTCTAGTGCTGTTTTTTACATGCATGATCTTATTTAACCTTCACAATCCTATGAGGTAAATACTATTATTTTACCTCATTTTACAAAAGAGGAAACAAGTTCAACAAGGTAAAGTAGTTTACCTAAGTCCAAAGCTAGTAAGAACCCAAATAACCAGCAGTCTATCCATACTTTCTACTAAGTGTCTATCATCACAAGGCTTTGGGAACCTTCTAAAACTTGGAAGACAGGCCAGTGCAACATCACATTAAATTTCTTTATCATTGGGCAGTACATTGGGACATGTCTATTAACTTTTCAAAAATATATCTGATGATGGTTAGCTATCTGTATACAGTTTTTAATGAGACACACACACACACACACACACACACACAAACATATTACCTGTTGCTGTCGAGTCAATGCCGACTCATAGCGACCCTATAGAACAGAGTAGAACTGCCCCTTAGGGTTTCCAACGAGCTATTGGTGGATTTGAACTGCCAACCTTTTGGTTAGCACCCAAGTTCTTTAACCACTGTGCCACCGGGGTTCCATATATTATGTATATATAAGTAATACGTGTATATATGATTATATATTATATACATTACAATATATATTATATATATTGCATATTATTAAAGTACATACGTTGATTATATACTTAATATACAATTATGTATATATTACTTATATAAGCTAACTAAACAGAAGTCTTTACTCAATCTAAAATAACCAAATCTGTCAAATACCAAAGGGATTTCAAGGAGAAAAACACAAAGTCAAAAAAATATATAGTGAATAAACTCGAAAATTTTCAAATACTCATTTTAGCAGCTACTTTTAGGTATACTAAGAGCTTTTATAAATTGTTTTCCCTTTTTGTCATCGCCACCTGCAGATGCCAACAAAGTTTCTTTTGGAATTATATGCATGAGCATAGAAAATTAAAACTTTTGTCCCTTCAAACAGTCTTGAGGCTTTAATCTGTTTGTAAGCTTTGATTCTGAAAATCCAATATATTCTCTTTCACTCATAATAAGCTCAATATGTAAACAAAGAAGTACCTACCTTTACAGGAAATTTCAACTGGTTGTACACTTCAGAAACAAGAAGATTGTGGCTAAGTGTCTTTCTCATTTTCATAATTCGAACAATTGCAGCATCAATTTGATACTGTCTGTCTTGAAATACTCTTTCTGTAGTGCTTGCTTGTTCCTCAACCTAACAAAAAAAGTTTTAAAGTTAAGAATCGTACCTGAAGTTTAACCTCGATTATTTACAGAAATTGTGTATTTTAGGGACATGACACTACTAATGCTTTAAATATATGGAATTCTCTAAATGGGACTTGTATAAACACAAATGGCAAAAAAAAAAATCCTACAAACAAATCTTTTCTCATCTGATTATACTGTCCTATACTGATGATGATGATGCCAATGTTAACAGAAAAACACAATGTTTGAATTACTTTTCTAGAAATAGATGGTCAATAAGGAATTTACTCTGTCCTTGAAATCTTCTAAATGTGTGTGTTAGTCACAAGAGGTTGTTTGCCAGATTTCTGTATGACATTAGCTGATCTATAAAGTGACTGACACTAACTACTATAAAGTGGTTAACTCAAAATGTAGCACTAACTAGCAAGCTTATATGTTAGAGTCAAACTCTTCTGAAAATTAATTTTGAAAAAACTGATTTTATAAATATAGATTAGAAATGCTTACTACATTTGTTCAAGATGTACAGAAATGTAGATGTTCAAGAATTAGTTTACCAATCGTGATGCTAAAGTAAAAATGTTAATTTTTAATAATTAAATTAAAGAACAGTTTCGGCTTTTTCAGCCAGTTTCTTTCTGGTAAAGCACGTTATAGTAGTAAAAATACACGGTAATCTTTTAAAGGAGTATAATGCCTTTGAAGGAGCCCTAGTGGTTAAGAGTTTGGCTGCTAACCAAAAGGTCGGCAGTTCAAATCCACCAGCAGTTCTACTCTGTTGTATAGGGTCGCTACGAGTTGGAACCCACTTGATAGCACCTAACAACAACAATAATGCCTCTGATGTATAAGTGAAAAGCACAGGAACTTGTTTGAAAATACTGTCCAACATTAAAACTTTTTCTCAAGTAAATCTGCATTAAACTTGGTTGGAACTGAAGCAACTGGTTTCAGGAAATGCTGTGGTTGTTGGTTTCCTTAACAAAAGTCTGTTACAAATTCAAATGGCAAAAAACAAAAACAAAATATTCACCTTCACCATAATCAAAAGAAATACTAACTAAATCATTCAGATTTTTCACCAAGCAAGTTGGCAAAGATTTTAAAAAAGAGATAATCTTTAGCGCTGCTGAAGGCATAGTTAAGACAGGCACTCACGTGCTACTGGACAGGGTTTACATTGGTCCAACCCTTCTGGAATACAATATGGCATTATGTATTAAGACTCTTAAAACTTTCACACCACTGACCCAAAAAAATCTACTTCCATGAATTTATCATAAGGGAAGGATCAGAGAAATTAAGATTTAGGTACAAAGATGTTTCTTGCAGTTTTATTTATAATACTAAAAAAAAAATTATGACTTTAATTCTCCAACACTGGACAGTGGATGAATACATTATGACACAGCCATGTATAAAAGAATATTATGCAGTCATTTGTTATTTTTTGAAAATATTTAATAGCATGGAAAAATTCTAAAGCTTTAAGTTAAATGAAAAAGCAGGATATAAAACTATGTTGATTATCAGCTCAATCTGATAATCACCCTCCAAAAAATTCCAAAATTAAATACTGAAATAAATTAAGCCTAATATATGCATAGAAAATGTTAATGGTAGTGGTAATATTATGCATAAAAATTTTTATTATGAACACATATAATTCCAGTGTATTAAGACTGGGAGAAAGCAAAATACATACCGTTTCTTTCATCTGGATTTGATTGATCTTTATCCTGAAAAGTTTGTGTTTGAAATCATCATTACAAATGAACTTGTCACCATCTTCAATATCTTTGCCCTTTGGATTTTTCGCCAGAACTCTAGCTTTGCCACAAGCCAATGACTGCAGAGTTCTCCTTAACTCTCCATCCTCTGAAGAAGGAACAGTAGTTTAGTTGTTACTAGCTCATCAACATCAACAGCTATATTCAACCTCAATCTAACTTCCACCCCTATCGCTCCATTAAAACTGTTTCTTTTTTTCCCCAAGGTTATCAATGACTTCTTTGCCCTATCCAATTGCTTTTTTCCTAGTTGTCCTCTAAAGGATACAATCATCATTTTATGTGGATAACTGCCAAATCCTTAGAAATGACCTTTCACTTATTTCCAATCCCACACTTAAAGACCAACTGTACCTGGCTGCTTTACCATCAACTCCAGTATGTCCAAATTTTTATTCATCGTCTTTCCCATAAAACTCTGTCCTCTTCAATTGTTAGTGGTGATACTACCAACCTACTCTGGGTGAGAAACCCTGGAATCTTCTTTAACTCTTCCTGCTCCTTCATCCCCCACCTATCTAGTAGTTGCTTCGTTAGAGATGGCTCTTCTCCATTCTCAATGGCCTCACTCTAGTTTAAATCCCTATCACTTTATGCCTGAATTACCCTAATAGTTTCTGGGCTAGAATTTCTCCAACCTCCAAGCTGATCTGCATACTGATTCCAGGTAAACTGTCCAAATAAACCACTTCCGTTATGTCACACAATTGAGACCTTATAAGGTAGGTTTCATTTGCTATATTTTCAAGATTCCATGATCAGGCTCCACCCATCTTAGTTATCTCATTTTTCATTATTCTATGCTACATTTAAATCCTTCATGATTCCTACGTCCAAGCCTTTTCTCCCAATCTTTCTCCTTGCTACTTATGCCTTCTCCCTAACCATTCATGACGGCATTCCCAATTGTGCCAGTCTACAGTGATCTCGTTTCGCCCAACTCCTAACACTTCTAGTTAGTACCACAGATTGGTACTTAATGGTTTTGAAATGATTTCAAATGTTATTTCCCTCTTTCCCCATGCATATGTTAAGAGTACTGAGGAGAGGGATTATTCCTTTGCATCCCCAAGAGCTCTTAACATAGTGGTGTGCATATAGTGGACATTTAATAATGCCTTCTAATCAGTTGATTCAACACAAACCTATTCCGGTAGCCTGCTTGATCTCTTCTAAACTGAACTCCTCTCCTTCATTAAACATTAGCAGCACCAGTGTTTGAAAAAGAGAGACCTGGAGTTCTTTTTTACCCTGTTGGAGAAATAGCAGTGTTTAGCCATCATTTTTAAAAAAAAACAAATGAAAAATAAATCAAATGAGTAATCTCTTATAGAAAAGCATTTTTCAATTAGTGGATTTAGAAACAGGGATTAACATTATCCAGAAAAGCCACCTGAGGTGGTAATACATTATGTTCAGTGCAGGGTTTAAGTGTGATCCTACCTAAAATAGGGGAAAGGATTAGGTGACCTTTTCACAGGTCCTTTTTTAAGCCTTATAATTAAAGCAGAACAACAAAGTAATGAAAATTAATAACTGAGCTCTATGTGTCATTACAGATATTTATCACAAGCAGCAAGAAATCACTATTTCAAATGCATTTTCAACTTCTTTGATGCGGATTAGTCATGAAGTGCTGCAGGAGTTTTTTGAAATTAGATATGGGCACTGTTCCCCTTAACTCCCACTCTATTCTCTCTCACCCAGCAACAAGAAAAGAAGTTTCCTGTCAAGAAGTGGCAACATAAATTCGGCATCCACAGGTACAGAAAAGGATTATTATTTTTGGTTCTGCAACAGGGTCAAATAAACTGTGGAAAACACCAAATCCTTAAAATATACTTAAAACACACACAGAACTGTGACTGTTATCATGCAGATATTTAGGATTAATTTATAAAACGGCAGCTTAAACCTTCAAGTTAAGAAGAATGATCTCAATATTAAAGATGAAAACTAAGTTTGGGAACATCTACTTACCTCTTTAAATTCTGCTTTTAGCACACAGTGTCCTAGAGTTGATTGCCACTGAAGTTTCCGGCCACTATGTTTGCCTAGGTAAAATGTCTTGAAAATCTCCTGAAGCTTTACCATCTAAAGTACATGAAACAAAGCTTTATTTAAGCTCTATATCCCAATGCCACTCTTTAAATTACCTCATGTGCACTAATTTCTGGAAATTTTTAAGACTATATCCAGTAGGTCCACTGATCACTTTGATGCAAGGTAATGATCTCCCAACCACCAAATCTAATGGCATTTATCAGTTCTTAATACTTTTTGATCCCTCTGCAACATTTAATCACCTGCTTTTGAAACACTTCACCTCCAGTGGCTTTTGCCCCTCTGTGCTATGCTGGTTCGCATATCTCACCGTTGCTTCTGCATTGGTTTCTTTCACAGGCTCCTCCTTCCTGCTAAATGTGAGCCTTTTCTAAAGTTCTGTCTAAGCCCTTTTCTTCTTCCTATTCTCTATATTCTCCCTCAACTAGCTCATCTACTAGCTAGGCTTCTCCATAGAAGACTCTCAGTACCTATCTCTCTAGCCTTACCCTCTTTTCTAGGCTTCAGTCCTGCGCTAGACATTTTCCCAGGAGTTAGGATATAGGTTTGCTCAGATACCCATCATTCAGAAATCCCACTCCCAAGTGACTCACGGGCAAGAATTTTTGAGAGCTGAGCAGAGTGATGGGTACAATCGGGGGGAAATGAAAAAAGGGTCAGGGAAATTGGCCCTGAATCCAGAAACTTGGTGTCATTAGCTATGCTTTGAACTAGACGTGGAAATATGAGAGTAAAATATTAAAATATAGTTGGCACCTGGTGTTAATGTGTTTACTGACACAAACGTTAAAAGGCACCTACTGTTTTTAAATGACAGGTAAAATAAAATGTCATATACTTTTATGCCTATAACTTAAACCGTAATCAGTAACTCTTACCTCTGGTGGTAAATGGACTTCCATAGGTACATATGTTGGCCAATAACCCATTGTTAGGATATTCACAGTTAATTCAATATTCCCAGGTACATTTTGGTTCTGCATATACTATAAGAAAATCAACACACACTGAGATCTTATAATAAAAGTGCATACTGTTTGTCATAACAATGACCCATTTAAGAAGTTCCTCCTTATAAAAATTACATGCAAGTATTGACCATCCTTAAAACAAAAGGTAACTATTAAGAGGACTACAAATGAAGCCTGTATTAAATACACTAAAAAATTATATAGAGTAACACTTTGTTACAATGGCACACAGGGATCACATGACCTCACTATAGGTGTTATCAACTTAAATAATTTCTTACATATAGCTGGGCTGTTACGGGATCTATTCTTCATTATTCTCCCCATACCGCCTACAGTGTTCACCTTTAGAGACCCCTATATGGCTTGGAACACCTTGTAGCAACCCCCATTCCTCACCCCACCAGCCAGCCCAAGTTTCCGGTTTTTCACTTGCTCTACTGCCTGTTTGCAGGGGATAACCTGAAGTGGGGAAGGAAGAAGAGTGGGAAAGGGCAAAGCAGAAAAATTCTATTCTGTAGCTACCATAGGATTCATGAGCCTACTAACACTGATCTTTCTTGAGTCTTCCACTCTCACTTCCCACCTCAGCAATACAGTGGTAAGTCACCAGAACCCCAAGAAAAGAAAATCTAATTTGCTACCACTATTACCTATGTTCTTAAACATTTTAAAACCACTTTCCTTTTCTACATCTTCAAAACTGTGGCTCTAGCTTTTCATTCTCAATGTCCCCAAATGCCTTATACAACCACTTTATCATCTTTTCCTCCCTCCTCACTGCTACCTTTGAACATGCAAATCACCAACAATGATCAGATGCTGGAGAAAGTCCTGTTCCCACTACCTAGCTACAGCTTTACTAGTACTGACTTCAGTTCAATACATCTTATTTTTATTTTTTATGTTATTTTTGGTGTTCATTAACAAGTAATCCTGAAGTCAAATCTACTTACATTCCATTGGTCTTTTTTTTTTCCTCTACTGTGAATATCATCTAAGTTGTTATGAAGTATTTACAACAAATACATGTTTCTATTTATCCTCTTCAGTACAAACCACAGCAATAAGTTAATATATTTAAGCTCAAGGAATTAAGTAAGAGTTTAACTCACTTTTACCTGTTTGAACTGAATCATGATGTCTTTAGAAAGTTCCATGTCTTTAAACATTCCTTCAAGTTTGCTGGTGAAAGCAGCTCCGCACTCTATTAAAGATGTTTGTACATTTATAATATTTTAAAGTGGTAAAAAAAAAGAATTTAAAATTGAAAACATGAAAAGTTAAACTTACTTTAGTATAAAATATGATCTGTAACTATTCATAAGAATAAAAAGAAATTCTTACCCCAAAGTGTATGCCCCACTAATTCAGAGTCAAATTCTTTAATCCTGTAGTAACCTTATATACTATTTAGGCATAAGATAAATGGGAAACTTTTACACAAATTTAAAAAAAAAGAACAATACAAAACACACAACAGCTCTGGATATGTACAATAGGTTGGAAACCTCATGAGCTTGCTCTAAGCTTTCATCACAGAATGACTGACAAAAGAGGCAGTCAGTTGAGTTTAAAAATTAAGCTAACATTTTCCCTCAGACATCTAAGAAAAGAAACAGAAAGAATGGGAAACATACCATGTTTAAGCTTGGACAGCATTGATTTTTCAGCATCTACAGACGCACTCTTCCCAACCAGCAGGCGCTTGGCTAAATCTTTCTTATAAAAGGCCTCAAAAACATCCTTGCCTATGTTAAATAATAAAACACAACTCTCATAATATTTCAACAAAATTGCCTGAAAGTGCTTAATAAACCACACCATTACTCCGAGTTATTCTACTTTACATATTTTATCCAAGTTTGTTAAATGCAAGAAACATAAGAGGTAGATTTTTGGGTCAGACATTTCAAAAGTTCTTTATTGTGAAGAATCAAGACTACATTAACTTTTCTTTAGAAAAGCTTTATCTGACTGGTATCTTTAGTACCAACACTCTAGAGATTAAATCAAGTAGCAAAAATCAAGCCTCTTTATGGTAAAGTCAAAGCACAAGGAAATTAAGTAACAATCCTCTCAAGTATCCCCAGTGAGTTAAATGCTAGGAATAAAATACAGTTTTAAATCTCTAACCTCCAAACAAATACTCCCTTCAGGTTGAACACACTTGCTAGTTTCCCCCAAGTGTTTCATTTTAAAGGACAAATATTAAAACAGTAACAAATACTTACCATAGATAAATCTAAATATGATCATAATTTTATCCAACATTTTTTCAAGTTCTTCATCTGTAGCTTCTTTGTTGCCTGCACGAAGCTTTGAATCTACATACTTAGCTAAAATGGGGGAAAATTTGTTGTTTAATGATCATGGGTACCCATGATGTACTTATACATACCCAAACAGGAGTATAATATATTCAATTTTTCAACGCTTAAGAGGTATATATGTATTTTTTAAAATCTCCAAACTCGGAGATCAAGTGACTTGTTCAATGTCACAGAGCTAATAAATACCAGAGCCTGAGCTCAAAACCAAGTCTTCTGACTCCAGATCTAATATACTTTCCACTATATACTGCTGCGTCTTACAAACTGAGTATGAATACCCTCGGGGAGCGGGATGGGGAGATACAGCCCTGTACTGTAGTATTCAAAGCCACTGAAAAACATGATGCATCTTCCTGGACTGTCCATTTTATGCTGATGGTAAGCAATCTTAAATGTTACTTTGCTATTAAAATAAACCAAATACATTATAGAGTAGAAGGCAAAGTTTGCAAGAACTTTTAGAATAAATATTACGCTTCAAAGAAATTTCATCCTTGTGGGAGAGGACCCTAGACATTCTCAGAGTACCTCCTCTGACATTAACAGGTGCCTGGGTGGGAAAATCTGAGAAGCACTGTAGTATACTACACACTTACATAAAATGGGCCCATACTATTAGGTTCATTTTCCTCCTGAATTTTTATCTTTCTAGTTGCAACTCTAAATTCTTGCTGTCCCTCTTGTAGCCTTAAGTGTTTACTTCTAGAAATAACACCCGGCCTCACCTCTAAATTGTTGGAGGCTTAAAAAAATTCGTGTTTATTATAAATAAAAGTAAATAGGATCCAATGTACTGTCTTACAAAGAAAAAACAGGTTTAACATGTAGGCTTTGAGATGTTCTTTAGCTGAAGAACTTTACTCTTTACATCCAGGTTCTTAGAAATATTCTTCAGACTTGACATTACCAGCTAAGTAATCCCAAATAAATGAGCCATTAGTATACTATAACCTTATCAAAATTTCAGATTAACTGAGATTTTATGAATAAAAGGAAAACATTAAAGAGATGAAAAATGGACTAGAAAAATACCTATAAGTTCAGCAGGTTTGTTCGGTCTTTTGTTAATGAATGTTTCAAATGCTTCTTTCATGGCATTAATAAATTTTTCATTCTTCAGAAAACAGACATCAATTATATGGTCAACCTTATCTTTAAAATCCAGCAATTCTTGAACCATGGTTTTATCTTTTTCAGGATTAATTACAATAGTGCTGCCAAATGCCTAAAATACAAAAGTTACCCCTTTTTATTGGACTTATCTACCATGAGACCAATTCCAAAATCATATTTTAAGTTGTCACACTACTTAAAGGTCTTAAAAATAAAATAAAGCTGGTTTTGAAGTGACAGGAAGAAAAATAAACGAATAAAATATCCAGACCAATGCCATTCTTCTATAATCACAAAAATAATAAGGAATGACCACTGGGTATACAATATCATAATGGGGTATTATTATTATCAGCTTCTAGGTTCTTTTCCTTCTTTTTAAAAAAGTCAGCTTTGATTTTTTTTGTTTATTTGTTGTTGAGCGTATACACAGCAGAACATATCAGTTTAGCAATTCTACACGTATAATTCAGTAACACTGATTACATTCTTCAAGTTGTGCAATCATTCTCACTCTCCTTTTCTGAGTTGTTCCTCCTCCATTAACATAAACCCATTACCCGCTAAGGTTCCTATCTAATCTTTTGAGTTGCTCTTCTCAACTTAATATAGTTCTTAAAAAGAGCACACTGGTCACAGCAGAGGTCTAGGGACCGTGCTTTCAGGGGACATCTAGGTCAACTGGCATAACAAAGTTTATTAAGAAAATGTTCTGCATCCTACTTTGGTGAGTGGCGTCTGGGGTCTTAAAAGCTAGCGAGCGGCCATCTAAGATGCATCAATTGGTCCCAACCCACCTGGAGTAAAGGAGAATGAAGAACACCGAAGTCACAAGGAAAGTATTAACCCAAGAGACAGAAAGGGCCACATAAACCAGAGACTGCATCAGCCTGAGACCAGAAAAACTAGATGGTGCCTGGCTACTGCCAATGACTGCTCTGACAAGGAGCACAACAGAGTCCCTGATGCAGCAGGAGAAAAGTGGGGTGCAGAACTCCGATTCTAGTAAAAACATCATGCTTAATGGTCTGACTGAGACTGAAGGAACCCCAGAAAGCATGGCCCCCAGACTCTCTGTCAACCCAGCACTAAACCATTCCCAAGGCTAACTCTTCAGACAAATATTAGACTGGACTATGTGACATAAAATGATACTCATGAAGAGTGTGCTTCTTAGCTCAAGTAGATACACGAGACTAAATGGGCAGCTCCTGTCCAGAGGTGAGATGAGAAGGCAGCCAGAGTCAGGAGCTGGTTGAACAGACACGGGAAATCAGGGGTGGAAAGGAGGAATGTGCTGTCACAGTATAAGGAGAGCAATCAGGGTCACATAACAATGTATGTACAAATTTTTGTATGAGAGACTAACCTGAATTGTAAACTTTCGCTTCAAGTACAACAATAAAATTTAAAAACAAAAAAAAGTGCACACTGCTCAAGGCAGACATTCTTTCCTAATTAAGCTAAACTAGTGTTTGGTTTTAAGAAGACTTGAGGGGATATTTCTGGTTCAAGGCGTAAAGAATACGTCAGAGCAATAGTTTCAGAGGTTCATCCAGCCTCAATGGCTCCAGAAAGTCTGGAGTTCATGGTATTTTGAAATTTTGTGCTGCATTTTCCCCCTTTTGATCAGGATTCTTCTATGGAATCTGATCAAAACGTTCAGTTATGGTAGCCAGGCACCATCCAGTTCTGGTCTCATGGCAAAGGAGGCAGTTGTTCATGGAGGCAATTAACCACACATTCCATTTCCTCCTCTCATCCCTGCTTCTCCTTCTTCCTCTGTTTCTCCAAGTGCATAGAGACCAATGGTTGTGCCTTGGATGGCTACCTGTAAGCTTTTAAGACCCCAGGCACTACACAACGATCTAGGAGGTAGAACAAAAGCACTAAACACATTCTCAGGTCAATTAATTGGGCTGTCCCGTGAAACCATGACCCTAAACCTCCAAACCAAGGAACCAAATCCCATGAGATTTTTGGTTGTACATAAAGAGCCTCAGTAGCTGCTCTTTAGTTGTTGTTGCTGTTTTAAATATATCTACCACACAACATTTGCCAATTCAACTTTTTACAGGTGTACAACTTATTGACATCAATTACATTAATCAGCTGTGTAATCCTACCCTTAATCAATGGCAATATGGCGTCAGTGTAAGATTGAAGGAGAAAAAAAATTGGGGGTCCAACAAAAATCCTCTTTCTCTTTCCATATTCAGTACTGTAAGTGCTAAGAGCTAGAAATTATGTCAGACATCAAGAAGGCAACGATTTTACTGCTGATTTGCCACACATCTATCATTCCCAGGTTGACTCTTCTCAAAATTCCCATTATTATTATTATTTTTCACTTAGATCAAAGAAGTAAGAAATGCTTACTGATATGCACTCTGGTGCACAGATTATAAGCCATGAAAGAAAAAACCACAGGTAAAACGTTAATACCTTGATGTATTCAATCCACTGTTGCAAGAGAACCTGAACTCCACCTCGAACTCTACTGAAGAGCTGATACAGGAGAGATAAATCTTGAATTCGGTTTTCATCAAGGAGGTTATTTAAACCTGAATTTTGAAACATTTTGGCATTAAAAAATAGTGAACAAAAGTGTCAGCTATTTTAATGAAATTTAAGTTAAATTATTATTGTGATACTGGTCTGAACTACGACTAGTCTATATCTGAACTGTAATGTAGAGATTTGCTTTGAATTAAACCCAAATAAACAATCACTTTTATAAGTAAAAATTAAATGCAGTTGCTTTGATTACTACAAATAATAATAATAATAATTGACCATGTAATGGCTTATATCATTTAACATGGTATATCAGATGTTCTACATTTATAAAAACTGGTTTATGTAACTATACAGTATAAATACCTCTACATGCATTAGTCATATTACACCTGGCATTAGTGTACGCAGCTATATTTCAGAATATTGGGTATGGCCTATGGTATATCAAAAGCCGTATATAAATAGGTTAAGTTAAAATGAGGTTCTAATGAATTTGATTTTAAGAATGAAATAAAATTGTAAAATTACATAAAAGTTCTAAAATATATCCATTTCATACAAAAGAAAAGATGGTTAGAGAGAAAAGACTCTTGCTACTTGTGGCACTGTCAAAGTAAAACTCAGAGTATATTCTTAGATCACTTGAGATTAGTAGAAGTGCTTAGTTTTACATGCTATGAACACAAACATACTTTAGTGCAAAAAGGAACACCTTTCCATACTGAATCCTACATATATTGAGTCAAGAATTCCCACTGTCTTTCTTTACCGGTGTTGGTAGACATCTCTCGTTTCAATCACTGTATCTTTCAGTTAAGGAATAGGCACCTTTCTGAAAGTTTACTGTGATAAACAGGGAGAAAGGGTGGTATCCATCCTCAAAAATGCAGCCACATGCTATCAGGCTTTTAAAAGGGCAATCTTTTAACAAATTTTTTAACAAATTTCCTGCTTGTTTACCACTACCATTTTAAAAATAATCTCTTATTTACAAATTGCCGATTACCTTTCTGAAGAATTGCCGTTAAGTGTTCACCTAGAAGTTGTTTTTCTACAGTAGCAATTAATGACTTCCTATGAGAAAAAAAAACTAGAATTAGTGACATTTGACTTCCCAGGAGATTCAAAGCGTCCCCTGGGAAGAAAAACAAACAGCTCATTTTAGGTTCCTTTCAATATTTCTATACTATGTATAAATTTACTGGTGCTCAGTTACTCTACTTTATGCCTAGGAGAAGGAAAACACCACATATTTCATAATTTCATTTATATCATGAAATAAGTATTTCCATGGTTTTGCTCTCATTGCTTTTTTCCAAGTTTCTCTGCTTTTAGTTGTTAATATTTAGGAAAGCAAAAAAACAAGTTTCTTCTAAGAACACGCACTGAATTTTCATCAGTCTTAAGATTTAAAAGATCCTCTAACAGCACTTAAAAGAGAAATTGATAGTTCCACAATAATAGTAGGAGACTTCAACACATCACTCTCAGTAAAGGACAGAACATCTAGAAAAAAACTCAACAAAGATACAGAAGATACTAAAGGCTACAATCAACCAACTTGACCTCACAGATATATATAGAACACTCCACCCAACAGCAGCAAAGTACACATTCTTTTCTAACGCACATGGAATGTTCTCCAGAAGAGACCACATCTTAGGCCACAGAGCAACCCTCAACAAAATTCAAAACACTGAGATAATACAAAGTATCTTCTCTGATCACATCATCATCAAGGTAGAAATTAATAACAAGATCAAAGAAAAAAATCAAATACATGGAAACTAAGTAACATCGTGCTTAAAACTCACTGGGTAATAGATGGAATCACAAAAAATTCCTAGAATCAAACGAGAATGAAAACACATCATACCAAAACCGTTGGAATACAGCAAAGGCAGTGCTCAGAGGTCAATTCATAGCAATACACACATCAAAAAAGAAAGGGACAAAATCAAAACATTAGCTACACAACTTGAACAAATAGAGAATAGCAAAACACTAAATAGACAATAGATAAGTATAACTTTGGTGAAGGGTAAGACAGTACACAACACTTAGGAAGCCAGCACTACTTGTCCAAGGAAAGGTCATGGAAGCTCAGTATACATATTCAAACTCCCTGAGGGACTGAGTTGCTGGGTGGAGGGCTGTGGGGACCATGATCTCGGGGAACATCTAGCTCAACTGGCATAACATAGTTTATAAAGAAAATGTTCTGCATTCTACCTTGGTGAGTAGCATCTGGGGTCTTAAAAGCCTGTGAGCAGCCATCTAAGATACTCCACTGGTCTCACCCCTTCGGGAGCAAGGGAGAATGAAGAAAACAAGATACAAGGAAAAGATTAGTCCAAAGGACTAACGGTCCACAACTACCACGGCCTCCACCAGACTAAGTCCAGTCCAACTAAATGGTACCCGGCTACCACCACCGACTGCTCTGACTGGGGTCACAACAGAAGGTCCCGGACAGAGGTGGAGAAAAATGTAGAACAAAATTGTAACTCACAGAAAAAGATCAGATTTACTGGCCTGACAGGGACTGGAGAAACCTCGCGAGTATGGCCCTCGGACACCATTTTAGCTCAGTAATAAAGTCACTCCCTAGGTTCACCCTTCAGCCAAAGATCAGACAGCCCCATAAACCAAAACGAGACTAAATGGGCACACCAGCCCAGGGGAAAAGATGAGAAGGCAGCAGGGGACAGGAAAGCTGGTAATAGGGAACCCAAGGTTAAGAAAGGGAGAGTGTTGACATGTCATGGGGTTGGCAACCAATGTTACAAAACAGTATGTGTACTAACTGTTTAATGAGAAGCTAGTTTGCTCTGTAAATCTTCATCTAAAGTACAATAAAGAAAAACAAACTAAAAAAAAAATGGACAGAGGATATGAACAGACACTTCACCAAAAAAGTCATTCAAGCGGCTAACAGATACATGAGGAAATGCACGAGATCACTAGCCAGTAGAGAAATGCAAATCAAAACCACAATGAGATACCATCTCACCCTCACATAACTGGCACAAATCAAAAAAACGGATAATAACAAATGTTGGAAAGACCGCAGGGAGATTGGAACTCTTATGCACTGCAGGTGGGAATGCAAAATGGTACAACTATTTTGGAAAACGATATGGCACCTCCTTAAAAAGCCAGAAATAGAAATACCATATGATCCAGCAATCCCACTCCTAGGAATATATCCTAGAGAAATAAGAGCCGTCACAAGAATAGACATATGCACACCCATGTTCACTGCAGCATTGTTCACAATAGCAAAAAGATGGAAACAACCTAGGTGCCCATCAACAGATGAGTGGATAAACAAACTATAGTACATACACACAATGGAATACTACCCAACGATAAAGAACAATGATGAATCTGTGAAGCATCTCACAACATGGATGAATCTGGAGGGCATTATCCTGACTGAAATAAGTCAATCACAAAAGGACAAATACTGTATGAGAATACTACTATAAAAACTCATGAAAAGGGTTACACACAAAAAGAAACAATCTCTGATGGTTAAGAGGGAGAGGAGGGGTGGAGGTGGAAAAACACTAAACAGACAGTAGATAAGTGATAAGTTTGGTGAAGGGTAAGACAGTACACAATACTGAGGAAGCCAGCACAACTTGTACAAGGAAAGGTCATGGAAGCTCAAAGCTCGATAGACACATCCAGACTCCCTGAGGGACTGAACTGCTGGGTGGAGGGCTGTGGAGACCATGGTCTCAGGGAACATCTAGCTCAACTGGCATAACACAGTTTATAAAAACAATGTTCTACATTCTACCCTGGTGAGTAGCGTCTGGGGTCTTAAAAGCCTGTGAGCAGCCATCTAAGATACTCTACTGGTCTCGTCCCTTTGGAAGCAAGGGAGAATGAAGAGAACAGGATACAAGGAAAAGATTAGTCCAAAGGACTAATGAACCACAACTACCAGGGCCTCCACTAGACTGAGGCCAGTACAACTAGATGGTGCCTGGCTACCACCACCGACTGCTCTGACAGGGATCACAACAGAGGGTCCCAGACAGAGCTGGAGAAAAATGTAGAAAATTCTAACTCACCAAAAAGAAAAAGACCGGACTTACTGGTCTGACAGAGACTGGAAAAACCTCGAGAGTATGTCCCCTGGACACCCTTTTAGCTCAGTAATGAAGTCACTCCTGAAGTTCACCCTTCTGCCAAAGATTAGACAGGACCATAAAACAAAATGAGACTAAATGGCACACCTGCCCAGGGTCAAGGACAAGAAGGCAGGAGGGGACAGGAAAACTGGTAATGGGGAACCCAAGGTACAGAAGGGGAAAGTGTTGACATGTCGTGGGGTTGGCAACCAATGTCACAAAACAATATGTGTATTAATTGTTTAATGAGAAACTAGTTTGCTCTATAAACCTTCATCTAAAGTACAATAAAAAAATTAAAAAAAGAAGGCAGAGAGGGTTAGGAGCTGGTTGAATGCACATGGAGAATCAGGGGTGGAAAAGAGAAGTGTGCTGTCACAGTATGGGAAGAGCAATTAGAGTCACATAACAATGTATATATAAATTTTTGTATGGGAAAAAATAAAAAAAAGATTTAAAAGATCACATCAGCCTCTAATACTAATTTTTAGTTATATCCTACACACACACACAATAATCAAACCCTTGATTAAATCTAATGAACTAGGGAAAATAGCAACTTGAAGTGTGATTATGAAAACTATTGTTAAAAATCTCAAATCACACCTGAAAATAGTTACTAACATGTTTTCGGATGCCTAAAAGTGCCTTAAGGAGCCCTGGTGGTGCAATGATTAAGTGCTGAACTGATAATCGAAAGGTCAGTGGTTCAAACCCACCAGGTGCTCCTTGGGAGAAAGATGAGGCAGTCTGCTTTCTTACAGATTTAGAGTCTTGGAAACCCTATGGGGCAGTTCTACTACTCATTCCTATGAGTAGGAATTCGACTCGATGGGTTTGATTTTTGGTTGGAAAGTGTCTTAATTAAGTGATTCAATGACACAGGTTAAGATTATTAGTCTGAGCATGTAATACTTACTGAGTGGTCTGATCTAAGTAAGTAATAAGTCTGTCTGCTTCTTCTTCTAGACGTTTGTTAACATGATGAAGATATTCAGGAACCTGCAAAGACAGTTTTTTTATATTATTTTTTTCTCCCCATAAATCATTCAGAAAATTTCAAGTCCAAAAGATCCTGGGAGCAGCCCTGTCAAATGTGACAGGGTTGAATCATTTGTAAAATTATGGGTAGAGTTTATGATCCAGAATGCTGGCCTTTAAGAAGAAAGAAAAGAAAGGGGCACCTAAGTGAGAGAAGAGCATCACAATGTTGGGAAGATAAATGCAAAGGGCAGCTTATGTTCTATAAAGTAAAGTTTACTTGAGAGACAGTGAATTTACTAATCATTATTTTCAAATACCTCTCTTTCTTGCATTAATTTTTGGCCTTCAGCTGCATAGAGCCTGTTAGTTTCTTCCAAAAAACGTTGTTCAAAAGAATCTTGATAAATCTGGGCAGGGGAACAAAATAAAGGAGTTCATTTATTTAACAAATAGTTACTGAATGTCTGCTATGTGAACAGTATGATGAATTGGTTTTTAAACATCAAACTAAGGACAGCAATCAGTTCTGTAGTAAGTGAAGTAATTAACTTACTTGTAAATCAGAGAGCATGCTTAAAAGACTTCGGAGTAAACTTCTATCAATTGCTTCACCATTCCTTTCCCTCTCAATCAAGAGAAGAATGCCATCAATTGTCTTATTCTGGACTTTCTGATCACTTATAATATGAGCTCTAAACAACTCCAGTCCCATGTCCCTAAAATAAAGAAAATATAATCTAAATTAATTGACAATACCACTTCTGAGGAGGTGTAACTTAATACCACATGTTAATTAGAGCTCCAGACTTTGAAGCAGTGATTGTAGAAGGATAAAATCCACGTTTTTTTAATTGTGGTGAAAATATACACATCAAAACATTCGCCAACACAACAACTTCCACATTTCACGTGTTTAACTTTAAATAACATTATTAAAGCACATAGGAAACTCGTATTATCTTTAATGAGAACTGAAGCTAAATTCCTACTTTCCTCTATGACTAAATTTTGTTGGATTATTTCCTTTGGTGTATATTTCTTCTTCCTTGCTCAAATCAAGAGACAAAATTAATCTAAAGTTTAAACGCTAAACAGTCAAAGACATAAAATGGTTTTTCACTGCCCTAGTACTGAAGGCTTAACTGGTCATTTATCAACTGGCTTCAGCACTCAAAAATCAGTGAACTCGGATAATTATTGTTGGTACCTTGACAGGCACATTGTGGCAGTAATAGTTCATTATACTATTTCTATTTTTCTGCATATGTGAACATTTCCATAATAACGTTAAGAGAAAATGAGTGAACTCTTGATGATCAGCAGCAAAATCATTCACATGCATAGATATACCAGAGCAAACTTTTTAATCCCTTAGCTAACAAAAAAATTTCTTCATAAATCAATAAATGCTCAAGATTATGTTAGCTATTTCCAATATTAGCATAAGCAAAATGTAATTAAGAAGGTAAAACTGCTATAAATAAAAGTCTAGAAGCCAAATGTGAATTTTTAGGGAATATTCACAGTATTGCTTGCTCGCTTCCATTACTGTAATTAAGATCTGACCATGATTTGTAACAAATCTTTGCGAAATATTTTTCTAGCATCCTTACCAAATGGAGGGTAGCATGGAATTCTGAAGCACATAAGTTCTATCCAGGAACAAAAAAATGCTCCTGATCATGATCTGTCAATGGAAAAAAATGAAGAAATCAAACGTTTCTATTTTGTGAAGGCTGAAATATCTTTTCTTGATAAAACGAGAGTTAAACTGAAGAGTTCATTCATCTATATTCCAAACTACTAGGATCAAACATGCAGATAAGCGTATCTACCTGAGAATATGCCCATTCCATTTTCATTAAACTATTCTATTGTCATTAAACTATTCTATTGTCATTAAACTATTCTATTAATACCTGCTGTGGTTTCTAGATTCTTAATACTTGCTGGGGTTTCTAGAAAAGAGACACTTAAAGTGGTCCTATGATTTCTTTGCTACTTAAAAAGTAAGTGAAAGTAAAAACAGGGAATCAAGGGAACACTCATGCCATTCTTCTTCAGCAACAGTACTAGGGGGTGAAACCAAAAAACCAAACCCGCTGCTGTCGAGTAGATTCTGACTCACAGGGGTCCTGTAGGATGGAGAAGAACTGCCCCATTGGGTTTCCAAGGAGCAGGCGGTGGATTTGAACTGCCAACCTTTTTGTTAGCAGCCATAGCTCTTAACCACTACACCACCAGGGCTCCTGAAAGCTACCTTAAATTGTACACGTGGGGCTTTTTTGGGAGGTAGATTTTAGGATTTTATTTTACAGAACACAAGGTATAAACTAATACCAGACTAGGAAGAACAGAAATGTCTGTGATATGAACAGGCTGAAATATAAGATCATGGAGGCATCTTCACAAGTAATCAAATAGCAAGCCATCTTATAAATAGGAAATCCATCAAGACTGAGATAAAACATACATTTTTTTTAACAAGATAAATACTTTTTTTGATTGTGACAAAATAGAAATGATCCCAAGGTGCAAGTCATTCTGAAATGCTGATTTACCTATAGCTTGAAATTTTAAAACATAAAACTCAACCAAAATTAGTTTCCAATTCAGAACAAGAGCAGTATCAAGCCCGTACTCATACTGGAAAGCTATTAAAACTAACATTCCTGAATTTGAAGAAATCTGACTTTTTTACAATATTTAGTTGAACTGTAATACTTTTCACAGCTTACCATTTGTCTGCAATGATTTTGCCAGCATTTATCGATCTTCTTTAGAAAAAGAACACTATCCAATGAATCCATGAGATACATGTTAAGGATATTTAAAAACGTTAAATACAAAGTAATATATGCAATCTAAGAGTACATTTATCTTAAATATGGAATATGCTGTTGTTGTTAACTGCTGTGGAGTAGGTCCCTGACTCATGGTGACCCCATGCATAATGGAACCAAACACTGCCTGGTCCTATGCCATCCTCAAGATCAGTTGTGGATCAGACCATTGTGATCCGTAGGGTTTTCACTGGCTAATAAAACTAAATAGCACTTATTTATAGAACAAAATGCTACTTACGTAAACCATAAAAAAATTAAGATCCCACTAAAAAACAGCTCTAAAAACAAAACTTAAACATAATTAACCATCATGTTTTCAGTTTATGATTTCCCCTAGAAGATTATTTTTCCTCAAATGGAAATTTGTTAGGATAAAAACGGTAAAGACTTAAGGACATCTTATTTACACTAATACTGCATGGAAATTTGGACCCTAATTAAAACTAAAAAGCCAAAAACTTGTTTCTTCTTTCTCTAGAGACCAAAAAGAACAAATCTATAAAACATAGGCATGCCACTTCAAGCTGGGTTTAGTAGTGAGGGGTGGGGACAGAGGGGAAGAATACAAGATTTTTTCTTTTAAAAGGATATTCTCTGAACTGATGAATCTGTGCTTTGATGTGATCTTCACAAATCTGTCTCAGCTGCTTGTACAAGTTTGCAGAAATCTTGTAAGAACAGAGATTTTCTACAGCCTGAAAGATTAAACATACCTTTTTAAGGAGAGAATGAGGATGAAAAAAGATTTTTCAATTATTTATATCAAACTCTTATTGTTTTGATATTTCTACCATGTCAGCTTATTAAAAAGGGTTATTAATCCATTTAAGATAAAAGGTAAAATAACAAAATATATCAGTGTGGGTGGTGAACTTTTTCATAACCAACGTAATGTATCAAAAAAACAACAAGTTAATATATTTATTATGGCTGTTCAGGTAAAGGATGGAGGGAATCATGCCAAGTTCTCCCCTGCAAGGATATCAAATTTATAGCAACTCCTACATATAAAAGCTGTTTTGTTCTTTAAAATATTAATCATTGTCATGAGCACCACTCCAATTTGAGTTTAAAAAATAATTTCACCAACTGTTTATTTATTAGATGGGTTGAGTGGTTCTACTACAATTGAACTAAAATTTATTTATACTTTCTTGGGTTTTGCTAAACAGAACAAAGCATAAAAATTGCTAGCAGTATTATAATGAGTATGATGTAACTAAGTACAAAGGAATTTTATCTAATATTTCACTTTAAGAATATTTAATTAAATATAGAGATTTAAAATTTTGCACAACTCAAAAAACATTAATTACAAAAGAAATTACTAGTACATTTTTACTTCATTCTAAAAGTTGAATCAGTCTTTCTTTTTTACTCAGATCCCAAAAGGACAAGCTTCAGATTTCAGTGAGTTTCTTGTTATGTGTATAAAAAGACTTTCAAATTTAAAACAAGAGGCATGGTAAAACTCTTTGGATGAACTCTGATATAATCTACAATTCCAACTAGTAATGACTTAAGTGTAACACCAGGATTCCTTTCTCACCACAACAGAAGGCAAAAATTCCATTAAAATGGACTCTAAGGCAGTAGCCAAGATCTGTTGGTTGGAGTGGAATTTTATAAATATGTAGTTGGAAGTCATATCCCTCGTATGCAGGTCCAGTAAATAAATTAGCAAATGAAAAGACAGAAGCTTACTGGAAAGCTCTATGCCAGAGGGAAGTTACCACACCTCACCAGGAAACAGCAGACCAATTAGACACAACAGCTATGGCTGAGTCTCTCTGCTGGCCCCGTTCCACAGGATCTTTGGGTTAGACCACAAATGCCTAAATACGTACCTATGCTTATTTCATGTGCCTCTCTGTTCACAATGGCCCTCTACAGACTGTCCCTCTTCCTCCTTTAGTATTCCCTTCATTCTATCTGTGTTCCTTTCGAGTGAATTTCATTTTCTCAGCAATTCTCACTTCCTTGCTTAGACTCTGTCTTACAACTTAGTGCTTACTTCATCTTCTCCATATTTCCCACTTCCAGTACTTCTCCAAGTCCAACTTCTCCCATCTCTGTCTGCTGTGTTCTTTTCTCCCATGAAGCAGTCTTCAACTCATTTATCCTCTCACACAAGATACCATATTCCCTTACTATCCACCTCAAGTTCCACTTCTTCCAATAAGCTTTCCTTAATAGCCTCAGCTACCAGTGACTCACAAGGCACTCTCACTGATCATACCACACTGACTTGTCACTGAGTCTATACTATTTATCTTTTGATGTACATACCGTCTCCCTCAACTCTCTTAAATGACGGAGAGAAACCATGTATCTAGTCACGAATCTATACATGTTCTTTAATACTTTTGGGGCTTTGAAGCAGGTAAATATATTAAGTATTCAAAACACTGATTTACTTATCTACATGCATCTACAACAGCTGGCAATGTATCCTAGACATTATGGTCTAATAGGAAAACTGGCCAGAAAACATAGTTACAATACAATGTACTAGGTGCTATGACAGGGATAAGCCTATTCTGCCAAGTGAACATACAGGCGAGGCCCCTAACCCAGCCTTTACAAAAAAAAAAACAAAACTCGTTGCCATCAAGTCGATTCCGACTCATAGTGACCCTAAAAGGACAGAGTAGGACTGCCCAATAGGGTTTCCAAGGGGAGCCTGGCGGATTCAAACTGCCAACCTTTTGGTTAGCAGCCATAGCTCTTACCTGCTCCACCACCAGGGTTTCCAACCCAGTCTATAGGAGAGGGCAAGTCAGGAAAGGCTTCCTGGACAGAGGTAAGAGAGGTGGAGTCCCAAAGACCCAGAAGGAAATGGACAAAGGGCTGGTGGGAATAATGAGAAATACAGAATTAAGCTGCATACAGCCTCCCCTGTGCTTAGATGGAGAGTGGTTTAAGATGTCAGAGGCAAGAAAAGGCAGAAACATCTAACGTGAGTTTTGAAGGTCAAGTTGGAAGAGCACACTCTGCTTCTCTAATTTAGCCTTGACTGCTTCTTAACATACAGACCAGATCTAGTAATCTCCCTTCCTCAACAACCTTTCATTAAGTTCTTCACGTACTGTTACAGAAAATCTCATAAGTGTAAAAAACGCAAAGGAGAGAACAGTGTGGTGCATAAGGTGCATAGTATAATACTATTTGTGTAAAAAAGGGAGAAAATGAATAAATATACACACAGTTGCTTTTGCATACATAAAACATCTCTAGAAAAATACCCAATAAACCGATATCATTGTCGAGAGGAAACTAACGGGGGGGGGGGGTTGGAAGACAAGGTGGGAGTGAGGCTTTTCATTTTTCACTACATGTTCTTTAATACTTTTTGAGCTCTGAACCTGGTGAATATATTGTGAATAAAAAAAAAAAAAAAACCTGACCCCCCTACCCCACAAAAAAAAGCCTTTCTATCTTTCCACCACTACACCTTTTAGCATGACATTCAAGGCCTGATCTTACCATTTTAGTCTCACTTCTCACTATATACCTTTCCACATACCCAGTGATCTAAGAATTTCTATGTGTTTATTTGGAGCAGCCATATGTGTCTAAAACAGTGACTTTCAAAATTGTTTGACCACAAGCAACAGTACAAGATACACTTTATATCACAATCCATTGTATATAAAATATATTTATGTAATTGAAACAAAATCTTCATGAAACTGCACTCATTACTACGTGTGATACACTCTGGTACTGTCTCTTTCATTTCTTTAAAAAACATGCTGGTCACAAACTACTAAACTAATTTCGTGACCCACTGACAGGAACTTCCTAGAGCGTAAGCACCTTGGGGGCAAGGACTGTGTATCTCTCTATCCTCATGACATCTGTCCAGCTTTGCACACAGTAAGCAGTCATGATTCAACAAGTGCTAGGATAGAAACATGAATAAGCAAGTGCCACATCACTACTTAGGAGTTTGAGATCAGCTCTATTTTATTCTAGCTCTTTTATCTTTGAAATGCACTTTTAGAAATGTATTCATTATTTTACATTTGACTAAATACAACACTCTGAAAATTCCTGGAAGTTTAATCTAGTATAATTATTATTAAAATAACCTCCAGTCTCACAAGCAACTATTTCTATTAAGCAGATTCTAGATAGTTGTACAGGTCTTTAAATAAAACTATCTTTTTTCTTAAGCTGTTAATCATTACTGGTAAATCTGCTGCCTTAAATCCTTTCTGAAGGTAGCTGGGTATAAAATAAAACATTCTAGCAAGTTTTTAACCTTTATTCTCCAAATCCTAGTCCCTCTCCTCCAAAATCCATGTATGTCACACCAAAGACATATTTGTCTGGAAAAAAACACTCCAAAGAAAATATAAACGTGTAGCAAATGAAATGGCAAAACTATAGTTCATGAAATTTGATGTTTCAGGGACTACAGGAATAAAGAAACAGAAAAAGGAACACAATACTGCATTTTGGGCAAGGGACGGAGTGGAAATGGGGATGAGAACTAAGACCAGAAGAGAAAATGGAGAGGATAAAAATATAAAGAGGGTCCTCTGAGACTATGGCCCTAAGACCCCTTCTACCATGGAACTGAAGTCATTCCCAGAGACCACCTTTCAGCCAAACAACAGACATGCCTACAAAATAAACAATAACACCTGAGAGGAATGAGCTCCTTAGAACAGTTAATTTTATGAGACCAAAACGGCAGAGAAGAGAAGGCAGGAAGGGGTAGGAAAACCTGATGAAAGGTAACTGGGAACCCAGGGCAGAAATGGGGAGAGTGCTAACACATTGAGGGGACTGAGACCAACGTCTTGGAACTTTCTTAGACTGTTGAATAAGAAACTACTTTGTTCTGTAAACCTTCACCTAAAGCACAATAAAATGTATGTTTTTTAAAAAGAAAAAATATAAAGAGTACAAAGATGGAGAATTAAACATGGTGAAGGGGAATCTAGAAATTTTTCTGATTTAGCAACAACAGACACTAAGAAAGATAGTGAATTATCATCACGGTGCTGAACTCTGGTCATTGGCCTAATGGTTAGGTTTTATTTTTTTCAAATTCTATGTTTAAAGAAAGAAAGGAAAGTATACCACAAAATCTTTTTTAACAACTGATAAGCAATGGAGTCTAAACTATCTTTTTACATCTAGTAAAAATACGTAAAATAAGATACTGAAAATATATCAAAAACTAAGAATTTATAGACGAAAGAAAACCAAGCAATGAGACCTAAATCACTTTTCTTTTTTACATCTAGTAAAAGGGGCTTAAATAAGACAGTGAAAATTATCAAGGACTAAGAATTTGTAGTTGTGCTATTCTTTTTAAACTGCAGACAGTATTAACAATTCAGTAAAAGGAGACAAGCGTAACATGTAACAGACTAAGCTTAAAAACACCAAGATCAACAACAGCTAATCAAATTTACAGAGAATTAAACAGCCAGTCATCAACACTATGAATCAAATCGCTAGCCTTTAACCATTGACTACTTAAGCAACCAGATTTTATAATGGATAATAACCTATACCTAAGGTGGAAGCGCTATTTTCTTCCAGTCATGTGGTCATCTACTCTACAAATGAATCACTAATAGAAAGGTTCATTACTTAAGATTTACTTCACAAAGAGCTAACCAAACAAGAGCTCTGGTTATTAATGAAGATAAATTTATTTTCTTCAGAATTTATGGACAAGGCTTATTCAAAGATAACACCTAGACATTTGTATTAAGAATAAATGTCTTAATAAGTTACACTCTTATATATATACTACCAGCCAGCTCCAAAAAAGGTAGCTGATTTTAAAACACTCATACAAAGGCTTAGAAGGAAAATAATCCCATTATTTAAAATATAACTTAAAAAAAAACTCTCACACCAAAACCAAAATTTCACATGCATTAAGATACCACATGTGACAACAAGACACATTCTTGAAAAGTGTGGAGGGACGCTGTTCCTAGAGAGTCCCTCTCTTTTTCTATTTGGCTAATGGTCTCTACTGAAGCATATTTGGAATGTAATCTGTTTATCAACCAGCTGTTCTTGCCTAGTGCAGATTTAGAATTTAAAAACATATGTGGCTCTAGAGCTGTGTAACAAAATGTAATTTAAAAATGAAGATATGATTTTTAAAGACACACGTATTTATTATTTTCATTCATGACACCAATACATAGCAGGCACTCTACTAAGTACTTTTTCAGAAGTATTTAATTTACAACTCAACAACCCTGCAATATAGTTAGCGGTAGTCTCATCATTTTACAAATGAGGAAACCAAGTCTTGGAGAAATTACCCACCCAAAGTTATCTGATAAATGAATGGAAGAGCTCTAACTTAAGGCATGTTGATAAACTTAAAAGTCAGCGCATTTAATCAATCAAAAATAAACAAACAAAAAACAAAAACATTAACCACCGCCTCTCTCTTAATAGGATTTTAAAATTACCCAGGTAAGGTAATTTTTCAAACCCTAGTACAATTCTAATATAAAATTACTTGAAAAAGACCGTTTTTTTTTTTAAAAAAGACAATGTCTGCTATTGCAAACGCACTCAGAACAGCATGTTCTTTCCTAGAAATTAAAAACTTAGTAGGCAGTACATGCAACCCACACTAGGGACTTCCATGCTTAAGCTCTAATGCAAGATGGTATTTTCTGCAGAGAAAAAAGTCTAGACAGACATATGCCAAATAAGTGTTTACTTCAGGATGGGAGGAAGGGGTGTGAGGAGTTTGGAGAATGTTTGTTTTGTCTTCTATGTGCTTCTCTATTTTTCAATTTTAGAATACTTTTTAAATGCATTTCAATGAGTCAAAATCAAACAAACACCTGAAGCCCAGATGGTATGAAATAACTTTACCCCCTTTATCCTTTTATCCTCTTTTTTTGAACTTAAACATCTCAAAGTAATCTTTCTGGGAACAATCCAAGGGAGCATTCATAAAATTATGGTCAAAAACAATAAAAGAGCTAGAAACAAATGCTTTCAAATTTATCATAACAGAAGTAGTAAGGTACTATGAAAAATGCACACTGAAAAAATATAACACTCATGATTTTATGCTAAAGAAATGTAAATGAACAACAGGTGACACTTCTGAAGTAAAAGGAAAAACACAGAAAAAGCTCTTCAAACTTAAAAGACGTAACGGAACCAGTATCTCAGGGAAAATATTTTCAAATCAAAATCTCTGGGAAAAATTATTCAAGGTAAAGTAAATAGCGTTCATTCACAACTACAATCATCATCTGTTATAAATACAAAATATTTAAAGTACACACTGAATTAAATATGATATACAACAGCATGTACAAATAAGCATCGTATAGACACACGAATGATTATTTAACTTCTCTGAGACTCAGTTTCCTCATCAATGAAGTGGGGATAATAACACCTGCCCTATCTACCTCACAAAGGGTTTCTGTGATGCTTAAATGAGATAATGTAAGATAAACCTGATCTGAAGGCTGTCACAAACACTATACAAAAGAAAGATACTGAACACATGATCTCTTAAGGCCTTTACAACTATAATTCCCTAATTCTACTTTCATTGTTGTATAACTCAGGAGCCACATAAGTAATCAACCAACAGAGCCAAATGAGATGGGCATATCTTTAAGTAATAATGTGGTACTACTTCTACTGGCTGACACTCATATATCATTGTTATACTTATTAATATTACACAGCACTATTACTATGTGTTAGGTATTGTTCTGAGTGTTTTGCATGCATTAACTCATTTAATTCTCATAGCAACAGAAACCAGTGATCTCAAGTGACATATTCCAAGTGAAAAAGCCACTTGTGAAAAAGTTTGACTAGTGTATCATCTTATAGTTAAATAAAATAGTACTTCAAAGTGCTTTTTTTACAAACATCTTATCTGATTCTTATAAGCAATCCTGTGAGGCAGATAGGGCAGGTGTTCTTTTCCCTATTTCACAGAGAAGAAAACTAAATCTAAGGAAGGTTTAGTACCTTGCTCAGGATCACAAGCATAATAAGAGTCAAAACTAAATGCAAAACCTCTGTCTTCTAATCTTAATCCAGGGTTCATCCATTACCATACTTCCTCAGCCAATAAAATGAACAGATGAAAACTGTTGGGTTGCTTTTAGCTGTCGTGGAGTGGATTCCGACTTGTGGTAACCCCATGTATGCAGAACAGAACTGCTCCATAGGGTTTTCAAGGTTGTGACCTTTTGGAAGCAGATTGCTAGGCCTGCCTGCCCAGGCGCCTTTGGGTGGGTTTGAACCGCCAACCTTTCAGCTAGGAGCTGGGTGATTTAACCATTTATGCCACCCAGGGACTCCTAAATGAAAACTATGAATACTGATCAATTGAACCAACATACTTTCTTACAAGGCACTCACCAATACAAAACTCAGGCTATTTCGTACCCTTAAGTTTTTTGTTTTTGTTTTTTTAAATATGAAACCACTGACACCATAATGAAAAGTAACTTCTTGCATTGGTTGTGTCAAAAACACAGTAGGGGCAAAATATTTTGCAGCAATAAATCTACATCAGTTACTTGCCTTTGACATTATATTTAAATTCAACACTATAAGACTCATTTGTTATGCAAAAGAAATAAATTTAAGCCTCAACCAAGTTGCTGGGCTACAACCTGCTGCTCATTTCTGGGGTAAGATGTAGCTCGTAGCCCAGGAGGTAATACAGATATAAAGAACAAGAAAAGAAATGTCAAAAGGCTACTAACAGGGAGGAGGCTGAATAAAGGATATGGAGAATATCTGCATTTCTTGAGGCCTCTCCTACACGTAAGTAATACCACTAAGCAAGAATTGTCACAATACAATGACATGTCACCAGAAATCATCTTTGGGAGCCATGCCAGAGGATTCCATTATAGGTAAAATACCAAAGTACTTCTAACTATAAACCCTAATTGGAATGTCTAAGACAAGCCCAACTTATATCAATATAACTTCATTCATAGTTTATGTAAGAATGCATGGTCGGATTATAAATAAGATGCATAAGTTAATCCAGAAATTGTAGATTAGAAGGAAACCAAGTCTACTTACAAGCCTGTTTCAGAAAGTAAACTCCTTCTACATCCTACCTCAAGTTATGCCAATTAAATCTGATTATCACATTAATACATACCTGGTAGAGTTCTTCTAAATTGTACTTAATTGAAGTACTATTCTGGATAGCTTCCACTGCTTCTTTCAGTTTCTGCCATGTTTCATCCGTGTAGTTTTCTGGTAATTTAGGCTTATCTAGATAATATATAAAAGGTTGGTATCAGAATAATATATAAGATATATTAACTGACAGATCCATAAAATACAACAGCATTACTATTTTTCTTCAGGAAAAACTGTGATCTTTATAACTTTATTACACCTAAATACTAACTAACCACTGGATTTAAGCTTAGTACAAAAAATAAAATTTGAAGTTCCAGAATACCGTTCAAGTCATTTTGACTCTATTAAAATCAAAAGTGAGGGCTTTTTTTTCTCCTATTAATTGCATTGCTTCAAAACATAAAAATTCAAGAATGACACATAAAAAATAGGAATCCTGATCTTAAATTCCATCATGTATGAAACATAAATCAGCATGAATTTTGTACTTGAGATTTAAAATGTCAAGTGTCTACTACTGAAAAGTACTTTATAAACATCTTCTTCCCAGTAACACTCTGAGGAAGGTATTATCCCTATTTTACAACTAAAGAAACTGAGGCTCAAAGACTCATTTAGTAGGGCTTTCCCAAGGTCACCATAGCTAATCACTGGCAAAGCTGGGATTCTAATACAGGTCTGATGACCCCCAAATTTATGCAGCATCTACAGAAATGGAAAGAAACATCTTAACTCAGGTTTTGATTTAAACTACATTTACAAGCAGAGAGAAACGTTAAAAAATTAAAACATCCAAACGACTCCAAAACCTATGCTGCATTTTCAGAAACGTAAACGAACATATTAATCCAGGCTTTAATTAAAATTCCACTGACAAGTGATTTAAAAAATTTTTAAACACCCAAATGCCTTAATAATGTATTTTTACTTTGGGGAGAAGGCGAAAAAAAAAAACAACAAAATCTCTGAAACCAGTTTGCAAATGCAATTAGGATCACAGCTCACTTCTTTAAAAAAATCCCCGGCTATTAAATCCATATATTTTAAAGCGAAATACTGAACACATTAGCCAATTACAATCCACATTCACTACAGAAAGCTCTACTATTAAATAAGAAAGATTTCAGCACTCTTGAGAGCCTGGGATGGGAGGGAAGTGATATGAAAAAGAAAAGGTTAAAAATAGACAACACTATAGCCCCTTGCTTGAGATAAAATAAAACATATTTCTGATTTCTACACTAATGTGAAAGCACAAACAAGCAGAACCTAATTTTCTCAGCACTAATATTTAACCACAGGCACTTATCTGATAAATATTACTTAAGTTCATTCATTTACTTCTCCATTCAGCAGACACTTTAGCATGTCTTACCTGTAAATTGTTAAGAGTGTTGAAAAAGTAAGTCAGAAAAACAGAAACACATTCAACAAATAAAAATTCAGTTCAGTTACATTTTTAAAATTCCTGATTTTACATTTGCACCGATGCATTCGTAATACTCTCAACCACGTATCTCAAACACAGTATGAATAAATTTTCCTAAAAGCTGCAGGTCAGTACTTTAAAACTCATTTTAGGGATGAAAAAATAAATGTAGTAATTGTTCCTATCTTTAGACTAGTGGTACACAGAGTTACTACTTCTGTGTACACATAGTATTTTTCCCTTCCAAATCCTGTTTTGGAAAGAAATGCAGAGATCATAAATATTTTTCTCCAAATACTGCTTCCACAATGAGTTTCAAGAACACAGTTTTCAACATTATAAATCTAATTATAAATCTTATTTGAGCATCTTAACTCAAGGATCACCACTGCTACTTGCATTTATTTCTAGGGATTGGAGAATGTGGCCTACCGAAGCATAAAAATAAAAATCCCAGCAGTGTCAAGGCTCACTATGAACCTGAAATAAACAAACCTCTTTAGAATACAAGTTTCTCACCTGTAAAATCCGGATCAATCATACTGACTGTTGATGTTACAAGAAACAGCAAATTAAATACAATGGGTTGAGAAAGACCTCAAAATACTGCACAGAAGCACCCAGTGTATGCTTCTGCACAAGGATACTAACCACCCCCGGAAAATGAACCCTCCACCAAAAAAAGGACCTCCCTCCACCTCATTGATTATGCATAAAACATTAGGCCACCTCTATACTGTTTAATATATTAACATAAATAGAACACGTGACCACTCAAGTGTCAAATCCTTAGTAGATGATTAGGGATTTTGGCCTTGGTTACCTTTAAAGTTCTTGATCACTAACTTCTTAGCAGAGCCAGGTTTGCTGTTAGCAAAGCTAGAGACGGTGGTAGAAGATTTGGCTAGGCCGTTTGCATGATGCACCGAAGCCACGGAAGAGATTAATATACTCTTATGTTTAAGTTGTTGCTGCTGAGATGTTGCAGCAGTTGGTGAAGATGAGGAGGAGGAGGAGGAGGATTCCTCAGCCATCTTAGCATCAAACCCTACAAACTCCAGGGTGTCTTCAAAACGCAGCTTCTTCTGTATTGGTACGTGGCTGGAAGCAGCCACAGAAACCCCCAGGCAGGAGAAGGACGAGGTTGAAGGGGATGCCGAATCCCTGGGTTGTAAAGGAGGAGTGGAAGAGGTGGAAGAGGTGGAATCAAAGTCTTCTCTCTCGTTACTACTGTTACTGCTGCTGCTGCTACTGCTGTTTAACTTTCTCTTCTTGGCAGAGGTGGGCGGAGTGGTGCTGGTATTACCATCAGTGGCAGATCTGACCTCCTGAGCAGCAGCAGCAGCTGAGGGATTGGGGGAAGAAAAACCTGTTGGAAACATGAAAATAGCGGGGTCAACAGGCAGAGGAGCATCAAAAACCTAGGTTTATATGCCTGCGTGCGTGTAGGGAAGAAGGTGGCAATGCTAGAGGGGGAAGGGAAGAAAGAAGAGAGGAGAAACACAGAAGACGAGAAGGAAAGTGAAGGGGGGGCTACACCGGGGGAATGGGAGGGCTTGGGAAGGCGGATAGGCTGACACTAGGAGTGAGCAGAACGAGGGGGACAGCGAATGAGGAGGGAGACAGGTAAACGGCCCTGCCGTCCCCCTCCCCTGCTTTTCAATCTCTCTCCCCCCGTTTCTGCAGGAGCGACTCTGTGAGTCTCTGAGGCTGCAGCTCCACCTCCTTTTCTCCCTCTCCCTGGGAGGGGAGATGCTGTGACTGGGGGGAGGGGGAGAGAACCGGGGCTTGTTATTGTCAATAGCACAAGAGGCTAAAGATGGCGACACTTCCTGTCACGCGGCGTCGTGGGAGGGGCGGCGTCTCTCCGGGAGTGGGGGGTGGAGAGAAACACTGCAGTCGCCTGGGGGGTGGGGGAGCAGGGGAGCAGGCAAGCGGTGAGGCGGTGGGAAAGGGGCGGCTAAGAGCCCCAGACGCTCCTTACTCTTTCGCTCCTTCTCCCTCTCCCCTTCCCTGCAAGCACTCTCCTCCACCGGCACACCAAGAACTCCCACCCCCTCCTTAACGGTCCCGCGGGAACCTTCGCGCCGCAGTGCCCTTACCGGAAGTGACTGGGCAGACACTTTTCATAGCGCCCAGATCCCGAAGCCCCCAGGTCCGCAGACTTTGAGTTGGGGGGGCAAAAGGGGGGAGAGAGAAGGGGAAAGGGAGGGGGCGGGCCTGCAAGACACCTTCGGTGCTCCTGATTGGAGTTTTCTGAACGCGGGGCGGGCGGAGAGCGGGTGGGTGGCGGGAGAAGGAGCGGGAAGGAGCCTGCATGGGAGGGAAGGTGGTGACGGCGAGGGGCGGGGTGAGCTAGCTGGGAAAAAAAAGGAGGAGGAAGCGGAGGGATGGAGTAAAAAGTAAGTGAACGGGAGAATGGAAACTTTGAAAGAGATAAAGGAACAAAGAGAGGCTGCAAGGCGAGGGGAGTAACCCGAAATAGAGGAAAACATAATAATGCCATTATGCGTGTTGCTAGAGAGGAATGTCACAATCTTAAGATAGGAAAGGAAAAGAAAAAGAGCTTAGATGGGGAAGAAAAGGAGTTCTGATTCGGTGGAGCTAGAAATTGTTTCTCTTTTATGTCAAGGACGCTACTAGCCAACTACTGAATAGGGCCTGGGTTTTGATACCTTTCTCAGTAATGTAACTGCAAATTCTTTTACCTTCCTACAAGGAGCATTTTCTAAGATGGCTGGCCAGAGTTAAGCCATCTTAGGCCAAGAAACAGGAAGGTAACTAACCTCCTCCATCACAATTCCCAGGACCACCTCCTACCCCCACCCTGTCAGTCCTTAACCCAGTCATTTGCAGACAAAGCTGAAGACCCAGTTCCTTCTTTTACCAAATTTCAGCTGGTACATTTTGTCTCAAAGAAGACATTTTAGGAGAATATTCGCTGAAGTCAATGTTTTCCACCCATGTGTTCAATGAGCCCAAGTTTTAAATTTAATTACTCATAAGAAAAAAAAATAACCTTTCAATTTGGTTAAGTGAGTCACAATAATAAATTTCCTGTTGGGTGTTCTTACTTAACCCGAGGGCATTCGCAAGGGAAAGAACACAATGTCAAATAAAACTAAATTTGCCAACCTGTTGATCATTCTAACTACAGAAACATTCAATGAGCATGTACTGAAAGACTTACATGCCAGACACTATGCCAGGTCCCTGCCCTTGAGAAGCCAGTGGGGGAAGGCAGATTCAAAACAAATTTCTGTAACAGAACTATAACATATAAACAAAATACTGTGGGAACAGAAAGACTGAAACAAGAAATTTGGGGGAAATTTAGAGCAGTCAGGAAGTTTTTCAAAGAGGACAGGACATTTATGCTGGGTCTCTAAGTGGGAGTTGCCAAAAAGACAAAGAGGGGAGAGGGTGAAAGGCTTTCTAGGCAATGGAAACAAAATGGGCAAAACAGGGAGTTGTGAAAGGGCCTGGCCTGTTTATAGAAACATGGAATGTGCAGGGAGGCTGAAAAGGAGGGTGTCTGGTTGGGAGTAAGGAAGATGAGGCTCAAGAGTGCCTGGTACACCAATCAAGAATTTTGGAGTCTACCCTGTAGGCTATGTACTCTCGTTGAATGAGAGTAAAATAATGCCATGTCTTTATAAGGGAGGATTAACTGACAGATTTTCAGGATTTAATTAAACAAGGTTATTCTAATTCATGTAGCCATATTGCTTAGAAGGATGTATGGAAGTGCTAGCTATTTCTAAAAATACAAATGTTAGTGAAACTGAAAGAGAAAGGACATAAAGATAAAAGCTGTTTTTTGCCATATAAACTTTTATACCAACCTAAAGGATAGCTGAGTCCTGTTAATTAATATTCAACTACATTCTACTAATAACTTCCAATCTGACAAGGTTATCTAAGGTCTTCAATCTTCCGAGTTACATCCTAATGCTAAAAGCACAGATCTTTGGTTCTTAAATTCTAGCTCACTTTTAATGACCCAGTAATCTAAGCTATTGTTTAAGTTTCTTGTTTTTAAATGGTCAATAATAATCTTCCTTTTACAACCACATTGTATGTTTTGCCAGGTCAATCTTCACATATTTAGTATATCTTAATATGGATATGTAATTTTAATAATGCTTCTTTATTCAACATTTTGTGGCACAAACCAACTTAGATATTACTATATGATGTGTGAGAACCAGACCTTTGTTTCTTCTTGGACCATCGGGCCAATTTAAAAAGAAGTTGCTTTGTAAAACATCTGTTACATCAAGAATCAATTAATTGGGGCTAGATAAAACATAAACATATATCCTATACACTTGTGTCGTACACCCAAGCATCTTCCAACCAATGTTAAACACATTCTCAGCATTAAAATACATTTTTCAAGGTTGAACTCACTGCAGCCACAATAATCAAGACGAGTAATATAGGGCACCATACAATTATAACTATCGTCAGACTAAACTAGATTGGGCACTTAACACATATTACATATATAGAATCTTTTCATCTTGTGAGTTCAACTCATACCTTAGAAACATTAATTAAACTTTACAGTGATGCCAGATGAGGTATGGTTATTATTGGCCTTATTTTAACCAAGTAAATAAATCAATCTAGCTATTTATGAAGGTAAATTTGTGCATAAAGGAAGAAATAGAAACAAAGACAGAGGACTAATTTTTCTAATGTCCGTCCCCCTATTTCTGTTTAAGAATCTCTCTCAAAAGGCAGAGTGTGACCTGTTTTCCTTTTTTGATCACAGGGACTCCCCCAGGGGCTTGGTTTCAGGTCCTCTCCAGACATCTCCTAGCAGGGGCTTGCTAGTAGATAAACATTCCTGAAATCCTTGTTATCCAATGGGTAGGATTTTCCTTAAAAAGAAGAGATTGCTTGCTCAGGAGAATACCAAAGATGTTTCTGAAACAAGCATTGTTTAAGAATATATCAAGAAAAGAGAACCACTGGACAAAAGGCAGTCCATTTTCTCTATCCACTTTTCTGAAGGACTGTGTTTGAAGCAAGGAAACACAGAAAAGGCAAGCCAGACAGTGCTGAGATAGTAAAATAAAGATGATATCATAATAAGGGCTTTGTTATGCTATCAACAGCAATAGGTTGCTATGGGATGACATGGGAGGCAAAAGCTCAAGCAAAGATGATCCAACTACATGATGTGAATTCATCATTTTCCCATCTTGGAGTTGATTTATAAAAGCAAAGAGCTTAATAAATGCTGAACCTAAGGTGCTAAGGAAAACGTAAACAAATAACAAAATCATTTATTTTCTATGTAAAACTATCTTAAACTGAGACTGACTGACTCGGGTACATCAGCCATTTGAGAACTTTGTCCCTTAGCTCAGAGATTTTGTCTAGTGTCATAGCTGTGAACCATCTGGAAGACAGATTTAAGGACTTTAAGGACTAGAAGTTAGGGGCAAGTTATTTTCCCTAGGCATTGAGGAATGGGGGCGGGGCCAGTCACAGATTACTTCTCCCTTTGGTACCAGCATTAAAAAAAAAACACTCAGTGCGGAATTGACAGACTAATATCAACCCTACAGGTCAGAGGAGAACTGCCCAAAGGGTTTCCAAGGCTGTAATCCACATCTCTCTCCCGCAGAGTGGCTGGTCGGTTCAAACCGCCTACCTTTAGGTTAGCAGCCGAGCGCTTAACCACTGCGCCACCAGGGCTCCTTTGGTGCTGGCATAGCACTTGCTTATTATGAAGCTACTGGGACTATTTTTAACCTTCTGTTTACTTTATCGGAGCCCTGGTGGCAGTGGTTAAGCGTTCAGCTGCTAACCCAAAGGTTGGCAGTTCGAATTCACCAGCTGCTCCTTGGAAGGAAACCCTATGGGGCAGTTGTTCTCTGTCCTTGAGGGTCGCTGTGAGTCGGAATCGACTCCACTGCAATGGGTTTGGGATTTGTTCACCTTATCAGTGACTATCACAGTACCCCCTCGACGCCCCCCCCCCGCAACCTACCTTAATATTTGATCTTCTAAGGTAACACAGCTTTTCTTTTTCTCAACAACAGGGCCGGCTTAGGTTTAAATTAGCTGTTCCCAACTCTGACTGGACATTGGAATCATCTGAGGGTTTTTTTTTTTTTAAAAAAAAAACTTTGCCCAGGTTCAAACCTAGTCCAATTGTAAATCAGAATCTCTGTGAGTAGGGCCTCAGTTATCATTATTTTTAAGAAGCTCCCCAGGTTATACATACATCCAAGGTTGAGAGACCACAGTTGTAAATGAAGTACGCAATCATTATGATTTGAATTGGGCTGATATTCCTTCTAAGCCCTTTAATGCCTGAAATTTCACAATTATTTATTCACTCCTTTGGATAAATATTGCCTCATTCCCTAGGAATCTTTTTTCAAATGTAAACTAGCCAGAGAAACTTCGCTCCTAATCCTTTAAGGTGAATGCTTGGGGTGGGGGGTGGGGGTAGGATAACACAAAAGTCTTAAGTGCCTGGGGGTAAACAATTAGATGAAAGCACTGCAATAGGGGATGGGGGGAAGGTAAAGTTACCAACAACAGAAGAAAGAATTCTGAATACAATTTGCTGACCTCACGGTATTGCCTAGGGCCAATCCTTCTTTGTGAAAATTGCCTATTTAAGAGTTAGTCAATTTTGAGGGTTTACCCCAAATGCCAAAATCATGTTAAAATTTAAATTTTTTTAATAAGCAAATCAAAGAGCAGACATTGTGAATCTAGGTTTCGAACCATCCATAAATGCCCAACTTATGAATTATCACTCTCCATCGGGATGTTTCTATTGCCAAGTCATCTATTTTTCTTGATTCTATTAAATGTACTTTCTTCCCATCAATTATTATTTCTTTTAGTCATTCAACAAAAATATATAGAGTAAATACTTTGGGCAAAGCATGGTGCTAGATGTCATAAGGGAACATGGAAGGAACACAATGTAAAAACTTCCATTTGCAGTTAATTTTACAGTTTTTCAAAGCACCTTCACACACAATCTTATTTTATCCTCATAACCACACTGTGAGGTAGGTCAGGGGCATTCCCCTTTTTACAGATGAGAAACTGGCTCAGGGAAGGAGGTTAAAATGACTTACCAAAGTTAACAGCACGCTGAACTTAAACCCAGTTTTTCTCCAGCTACTAAAAAAAAAAAAAAATT